AGGACTTGTTGGAGAGAAACGGAAAGGGAAGAGAAAGAGGATGAAAGGGAGAAGGAGGAGATGGCAAAGGAAAGAGGGAGCGGAGGAAAGGAAGAAGGGAGGGAGAGAGGAGAAAGGGAAGAAAGAAGAAATAAATGTCTCAAGTGGGTGACATCAGAGAAATGTACTGACTTTCCTCGGGCTTCCTGCAAATACAATACTAAAGCACAGCAAGCACAGCCTGCTTCTCCTCCTGAAGCTTCTCCAGATGACAGCAGTGAACCGAATGGACAACACTGGTTAGCTGGTGAGTGGGTGCTGGGAGCAGACGCAGGCCTCCTTTGTGCTAGGCTGAAGAGCCACTGCATCCCTTCCCAAGATGGGCAATGGCAATGATTCCTAAGAGATGAAGTGCCAGCAAGCTGCTCCAACTATGTTTATCTACCTATTCCTACCCAGTCCAGCAGCAGACATGAGAAACACCAGCAGATGAAGTGACTTGAATAAGATTAATTCACCAAGTAGTCAAAAATATACCTCACATAATCCATGTTACCAGTTAGCAAGCAACACAAATATGCAGGACAACCCAAATTACTTTAAAAAAAAAAATACAGGCTGGCGAGGTTAAGAGCACTCACTGGCTGCTCCAGGAGCCAGGTTCAATTCCCAGCACCTACCTGGAGCTCCAGGTCCAGGAGATCCTATGCTTTCTTCTGAACTCCTCAGGCACTGCACACACATGCTGCACAGACACACATACAGGCAAAACATCCATACACGTAAAAATAATAAATCAAAGTAGAAAAGGGACTACATGGAAAGAGGAGAGGATCAGAAGAGGAGACAGGAGAGGGTAATGGGGGCAGAACATGAGCATGGGACATGATACACAAGTGTGACAATGTCACGACAGACAGCATCTTATATTATGAACGCACACTGTTTTAAAGTCAGGCTGATGCTAAGCTCATTCATCCACCTAGCTGCAACCACTCTCAACAGCTCCGCATCACTGGATCCCTCAGGGTGAGGAAACCACTAGAACACGGCAGCCCTGCCTCTCCCAAGCGCGTGTCTACTGTTCTTGCTGGTGTGTACGCAGCCTTACCACTGCCTTGGAAGTCCTCTGGACAGCCAGGATCTTATTTTCTAAAGAAAACTTAATGCACTTCACTTCTCCTCTGTCGTCCATTCTGAAACAAGAAAACACACGTTAGAAGGAACGTACCCTGAATCCTAGCTCTTGCTTCCATGACAAAAAGCCACGTGACTCTGCGGGAAGCCTGATGTTAGAATTGCAACTCTGAAGCTGTGGACAAAATCTACTGGCATCGGGGCTGGCGAGATGGCTCAGTGGTTAAAAGCATTGCCTGCTCTTCCAAAGGTCCTGAGTTCAATTCCCAGCAACCACATGGTGGCTCACAACCATCTGTAATGAGGTCTGGTGCCCTCTTCTGGCCAGCAGGAATACATACAGACAGAATGTTGTATACATAATAATAAAATAAATATTTTAAAAAAATAAAAAAAAATCTACTGGCATCAACAACTTGCTAGAGAAGTGGACAGAGGACACAGCCAAGTGGTTGGAGTCACACACACATCACCTAAGAACTGCTGGACACCTGAGGTCTAGAGATGCACTCATTCTCAGGATTAGAGTGATGGTTTCCAGGGTGTGTAAATATCTCAGTATACAGTAACTGTGCAACGTACTGTGAGTCAATTACAATTCAATAATGTGGATTTTTTAAAAAAGTGTTTGGGTTCAGTTGGCTCACAGAGACCTAAGTGTGATCTCGAGTGTGAATCCATGTAAAAATTCAACACTGTGGCACTGTAATTACAGTGCTGGGGACACAAAGACCAGCAGGTCCCTAAGGGTCACTTATGCTAATATGCCAATGAGACCTTGTCTCAAAACACAAGGAGTTAAGAAAAGATACACACACACACACACACACACACACACACACACAAGTTCAATGTTGCATGCTATCAACACTTCGAGCTCCTGGGAACCCTGACATGTCACCTATGGCAGGCAGTCCCCTCTGTTTCCATGTGTCACTGGTGCATTTCACCCCCTAACTTCCCGGGCCTGTGTCTGCACCTCAGAGCCCCATGGCTTTGGGCTGCACACAGCTGAACTAACACTATCTCTTAGACTTATTGCTGTCTCTGCTTTCGACAGGGAAATAAGCTATTTCCAAATGCTGAGTACCCTCACCACACCTGACCTGAGTGATTTTCAACATCAAGAAAAAGTCCTAATCCCCATAGGGAATGCATAATGTTAAGGCAGTCTCTGCCAGTGGGCACATCTTCCCCATGTCCGCTTCCCGACAGATACCCTGACCTAGAGTCCCCAAAACACTATTTCTTTGCTCATGGTGTTATTTAGGTCTAATATCCAACCAGAAACCACTCCCTTCATATTTTAAGCCTTGCTCAACCCCGTCTCAAGGTCAAAACTGCATCTTTTGAGTCCTCCCACATTCTGAACAGAGCCCCAGCACAGAGCTACTCGCATCAAACACTGGCTGAATCTCTTTTCTCCTGCACTAAGTCTGAGTTCCGGAGAGGAGCAGGCTAATTCAGTCTTCACTTGTTTGCCACTGCTGGTGGGTGCCGAATGAGGACCAATAACTGTTCTCTACTTCATACAGTTGACTCCTGGTAAAAGTGATGTGCATTTCTGAGTTTTTTTGAAACAGGGTCTTGCTATGCCACTCAGACTGGCCAATAACCTGCAAGCTACCTCTCTAGCTTCCCAGAAGGCTGGGATCACAGGCCTGTTCCACAACTGAACTGAGACCCTACACAATACTTTCTCTCTGCTGCTGCAGTCAGAATTAAGATCACTTGTGAAGGTGACAGGGGCTGCTGTTAGCGATCTCACTCACTCACGTAAAGTGGGCCAGTGGGTCTGTCACTTTAACTTCAGGGCGAGCCCTGATTTTCCTCCATCCAGCAAAAGCCCGAGGAAGACCTGGGGTAAATGAGGAGCTGAGTTCCCAGGTCCAGCACAGCAGAAATGAGTGCATGAATACTGGGCCTTCAAGCACCAGGAAGTAGGTGTCCTGGGAAATTTTGAGTCCCAGTCACTCTGACAGTCAAACTGTACCCGCAGGTGCCCACTGCTTTCTCCTAGACACAGGATTCCATCCCAGGCTGCTTAGATGAGGCCAAAGAAAACAATTCGACTTTCTTAATCAGAAAAGCCCCAGTGTTTACATGTGGATATTATTCTGAAAAGGGCAGAATTTATTACCTAAAAGAGATGGGATTCCTATCATCTGGGCCTTTAACGACCACTCCGGTAGCTCCACCCGATCGAACAGCAAAAACCTGAGGAAGAAGGGGCAACGTTAATGGTCAGAGCTTTGTAAAGACCTAGAGTCAACCTTCCAAGGATCAGGTCTACCATACCACACCCTTGATTCGTCTAAACAAATTAACCTGGTAAATTCCTAGGTAGGTGCTCAGACGAATTTAAGAAAGAGAGCAAACAGAGCACCGTGCACAAGCAGGCCAGACCCTGAGGTTGACCATCTGAAAGCCAGCTCGCACTCTGGCACCGCCCGTGCAATTGCACACCCGTCTCTGCTCCCGCACGAAACACCGGGCACTCAGACCTAAGTCCTTGTGCGCGAAACACTGGGCACTCAGACCTAAGTCCTTGTGCGCACTGCAGGTCCAGTGCCGGAAAGCGTCCGGACGCGGGGCCTCGCTGCGGGCGCCGCTCACCTGCTTGTTGGCCTCGTCGAAGAACACGCAGTTGACCGGGTTCGCCTTCTCGAACTGCACCGGCCGCTCGCACAGCTCCAGGTAGTAGTCCTCGCCGCCCATGGCTGGGACCCGCGGGAGCCCGGCAGCCCCGCTGAAGTCCGAGGTCCCCGCCGTCGCTCAGGCCGCTGCCCTAGGCCCCGCCCCCGTCTCACGTGACTCACGGCCTTCGGCGCTTCACTGGGTCCTGGAAGGTCCCACCGTCATAGCCACGCCCCCTATGGGTGGGGAATTGTAGTCACGTGACCCGGAAGCCTGCTGGCTGCTGGGAGACTGCCAGTCAATAGTGACTTGTCGCCTTTACGCAAGGCTTCTGCCTGTCAGTTTAGTCGGAGAGATGAGGCAGGAGGCTGGCTATAATCATGCATCAGAGATCTATGAGCCAAGACTGATTTCTGTGCTCCCCTCAGGACCTCATTCGCCCCAGGCAACCACTCAGGGAGATCTGTGCCCAGCCCCGAGAACTGATTTTTTGAACAATCAATCCTCGGCCAGGATACTGGGGACTAAATTCTGCCCTCCCCACACCAAGTTTACATGTTGAACTTTTAACCCCCAATATCTCAGAATGTACCTGCATTTGGAGCTTCAAAGATGTAATTAAGGCAAAATGAAGTCATCAGATGTTGCCTTAAACCAATATGACTTTTATTTAAAGAAGAAAAGAGAGATGAGGGCATTAAATTCCCAGTCTGCCGGGTGGTCGGCCATCTACGAGCCAGAGAGGCCTAGAAGAAACAGTCCTGGTCCAGCGAGATGACTCTGTAAGTAAAGGCCTTTACCACCCAGTATGATGACCTGAGTTTGATCCCTGAGACTTACATGGATGGAGAATAGAAGGACCCTGCAAGTTGCCCTCTGACCTCCACAATGCACTGTAGCAAGTGAGTACCCACATACATAAACGAAAGTAATTTTTTTTTTAAGACAGAATTTTTCTAGGTAGTCCTGACTGACTTGGAACTATCTATGTTAATTAGACCAGGCTGGCCTCAAACTCACAGAGATCCACCTGCCTCTGCCTCCCAAGTGCTGGGATTAAAGGTGTGCACCATCCATCACACCTGGAAAAATGTAATAAAATTTTATAAAAGAAATGAGGGCTGGAGAGATAGCTCAGCAGTTAAGAGCACTGGCTGTTCTTCCAGAGATCCTGAGTTCAATTCCCAGCACCCACAGGGTGGCTCACACCACCTTTAATGAGATCTGGTGCCCTCTTCTGGCCTGCAGATGTACATGCAGGCAGAACACTATACAAAACAAACAAATAAACAAACAAATACATCTTTTTAAAGAAAAAAGAAAACAGAAGAAACGAAACAGCCCTGCTGACCCTGACTTTGGGCTACCTGCCTCAAAGACCGTGAGAAGATAGATGTTTAAGCCCTTAGCCCCAGTTCTTTGCTGCACCTGCTGCAGCAGCCAACACTGCCATGGGAAGACCCTACCCTGTTCACAGTCAGCTTCACAGTGTTGTGGGTTCAGGAGCTGCTCCAACCACCACAGGCTGTGAGAATCCAGAAGATCCACAATCAAGTCTTTTACCCATCCAGGTATTGTCTCTTTCTATGGCAAACATAATTTTTATTTATTTTTAAATATGTATGTGTGGTGTGTTGAGTATGTGTAGATGCATATCTGTGTGAAGGTCAGAGGTCAGCACTGGGTATCTTTCTGTAACTCAAGTTTTTGAGACAGGGTCACTCATGAACTCAAAACTCACTGGCTGGAATGACTGACCAATGAGCTCCAGGGATCTGCTTACCCAGCAGGATTTACTAAACCTTTCCAAAGGTGCTGGGGATCTGAACTCAGCTCCATCAAACTTATATCTCAGGCCCCCTACCACCTAAGCCATCTCCTCAGCTCCATGGCAAATGTTCCCATCAACAATAAAGACCACCTGATTGTTTGTCCTGCGCCCGGAGCACAGGAGCTCTTATTCTTCCTAGATTAAAAAAAATTAATAAATTAAAAATTGTTAAGAAAATGAAGCTGGGGGAAAGCAGAGGAGGGGAGGGGCAACTGTGGTTGGTATGTAAAATAAATAAAAAAATTTAAAATAAAAGAAATGGGAAAGTAGAATAAAAAAAAAGAAAATGAAGCTGGACATGGTTCATGCAAAAGTGAACAAACAGGCATTTTGAGGAGTAAACCTGGAGTTTACAGGTTCCCGGTAATCTTTTGAACTATAGATCACCACAAAGTACCAACCTCAGTAGAATTGAGGAGCCTTGCCTTTGTGTGGCGCCCCCTCCTGGGCCGACATGTATTTCTGTTTTCCGGAGGTTTTGTCTATGCTACATCCTTTGCTACTTAGCCAATACCTTCTTTTCCTTTGTGTTGGTGTGTGTGTGTCTCTGTGTGTGTGTCTGTGTGTGTATTGGTGTGTATGTTGGGGTGTGTGTCTGTGTGTATGTGTCTGTGTGTTGGTGTGTATGTTGGGGTGTGTGTCTGTGTGTGTGTATGTTGGTGGGTATGTCCACGTGAGTGTAGGTGACCTTAGAGAACAGAAGAGGGTTTGCTTGCTAGGCAGCCACTCTACCAACCACTCACCTCCCAAGAGCAGAAATTAGAAGATTACTCAACAACTTTTGTACATCTGAAAGCTGAAATATTGGAAGATGGAAGAAGAAAACCAAAATCTTAGCTTGCACTCATTGTGGAGTCCTTTTACTGCTCACGAAGGCCTTGGAGTGCTCCCGAGGCAGCCAGAAGTTGAGGGACCAAGCTCCTGGGTGAGGGCTGGACACTAGCTGCCCCTTTGCTCCACCGAGAATGTGCTGGTTTAGAAGTTATCAGCAAGGGTTGAGGCTGTGCAGAATGGGAAAGATAAGAAGTTGAAGGGCTAACCCGAACACACAGGACTGGAACAGGTGAAAAGAAAACAAAATACAAATCCAAAACAATAATACAACAATAAGAAAACCAAGGTTGAGACCAGACTTTCTATGGGGACATGGGGACTGTAGGAGAGATTCCTGCCTGGAAATGGGTGAGCTCACATTAGGAGGGAGACAGACTGAGCGCAGCCCAAGCACGGATCAGTCTCTACCTGCCCTGACACCCCAGGAAGAGTGAGTGAGCAGTCACCAGGCTGGATGTTTACTTCTTCCTCTGACTCCTGGCCTGTGTTTTCCTGAGCTCGGAAACTCTGGCCTATGCGATAAGCGGGTGCTTGTGCTAGTCCACGGGTGCTAGAGGGCGCTCCTGACACTTCCTAGAACCTAAAAGCACACCCAGTTTCCTGTTGCTGTTTTCTTGTTTTGGGTTTTGTTGCCTAGTCTTTGTCAGACCGTGTGTCAGAGAACCAAAAGACTGTTGTCCTTAGTCCGAGAGTGATTCTCACTACTTAGCTGCTGTTTGGATGACTGCTGTGTCCCTCTTTGAACTTTTCAAATTCCTTTTAGTTAGAAAATTATCAAGAATACTATATTATATGAGAAGTTAATTTTCGAGTGTGTGTGTGAGGTACAACCCAGCATTGCTGCCAGCAGTCTGGAGGAGTTCCCTTCCCAGTGAGGAACTCTAGTCAGGACCAGCTGGTGGATCCTTGACCAGGCCTCCTCCTGCCTTATAGTCCTCTCTCCACCCAGCCATATCACTCCTGTCTTCACCGTCCTAGTGTTGGGAATTAAAGACACGTGACTCCCAAGTACTGGGGTTAAATGTGTGAGCCACCACTGCCTGGCTCTGCTTCTCTTTTAGACAGGATCGATCTCACGTACTCCAGGGTGGCCTTGAACTCACAGAAATCCCTCTGCCTCTGCCTCCCCGAGGCAGATCACAAACAAAATATTACCACATGTATGCTTTCTTCTTATTCATCTACTGTATGGTAAATTAATTTATATGGATCAGAGCAGTAGCTAGAAGTTAAGAGCACTTGTTGCTCTTTCAGAAGACACAAGTTCAGTTCCCAGCATGCATGGTTGGGGGTGGGGGGGCTAACAGCTGCCTGTAAATCCAGCTCCAGAGGATCAGACACCCCTGGATTCTGTGAGCATCTGCACTAATTGTGGCAGACACATATAAAAATAATTTTTAAAATCCTTATAAAAAGGATATTAATTCATTGACCCAACAAGACCTCTGAGAGGATGAACTTGGAATTCTCCTATAGCTGTGAGGAGAAAGGAGACAGAAAGGTCCATGAAAATTATCTGGTGGGCTGGAGAGATGGTTCAGTGGTTAAGAGTACTGACTGTTCTTCCAGAGGTCCTGAGTTCAGTTCCCAGCAACCACATGGTGGCTCACAACCATCTGTAATGAGATCTGATGCCCTCTTTTGACCTGTAAGCATGTATATATACACTGTATATGCAATAAATAAATATTTAAAAAAAGAAAAAGAAAAAAGAAAATTATATGGCCCAGGCAACCATTTTGTGGTTGTTTATGACAAACTCACCTCAAGGTTCATGACCTGCTATTGAGTTTCTGATACAATTATCAAGACTAAAACAGGATTCCCTTTCATGTCTACCCTGGGGCATCTGCTTTTAGCCTTGTACCTATGGTGTTTTGAAGGTAATTAGCCCCATAATCTCAGAGGGAGTAGCACTATTAGGAAGTGTGATCTTGTTAAAGTGGGTGTGGCCTTATTGGAGGTAGTGTGTCACTGTAGGGGTGGGTTTTGCAGTTTCCTATGCTCAGGATGCCACCCTGAGCCAGACTTTCTTTTGGGCCACCAACTCCCAAATAATGACATGGTGACATCTTATTAATTATGAAAGTTTCGCCTTAGCTTAGACTTGACCCACTACCTCTTATAATATAAATAACCCTTTTCTATTAATCAACATTTTGCCACATGGCTCTTACCTCTCTTCAGTACTGTGAGTCCAGTGCTCCACGTCTCACTGGTGAAATTCCACCTCTCTGCTTCCTTCCTCCAAGTTCTCTCTCTTTAGGAATCCTGCCTATCCTCTCCTGCCTAGCTATTGGCCATTCAGCTATTTGTTAAACCAATCAGGTGTTTTATACAGATGAAGCAAAACATAGACACACGTTCAGGCCATGTAAAAGCATGGCAGTGTGTAATGGTAAAAATAAAAATGCTATGGGTCCCCGAGTGGCTGCAGCTGCAGAAACGCTGCAGGTCTCTAAGCAGCGGCAGCGGGCAGCAGGTCCGAGAGCAGCCAGTCCCAGGCAGGGATTGCACAGTTCCAGTTCCTGGAGTAGCTGCAGTAGGCCGTGAATCCCAGGTAGGGAGCGGCGTGGTAGGTGAGAGACCTCGATGGGGCAGCCAGTACCACGAGGAGAGACAGACAGTCAGGCATGCCACAAGACCATGCCACAGGTGGTGGCAGCTGGTGGTGGGCGAGAGACAGAGACATGGATAGGCACACCATGTTGAGTGAGGTTGGGTATTTATTTAGTGGGTTATGGAGGAGGGGCAGAGAGGCAGAGAGAGAGAGAGAGAGAGAGAGAGAGAGAGAGAGAGAAACAGAAAGGGGAAAGGGAAGAAGTAGGGAGAGACAGAAGCTGCCTCTTGGAGTGGGGAGGCAGAGAGGGAACTGGAAAAGGAAGGGGCTCAGGCTGGAAGCTGAAGATCAACTTGCCTCAATTAGGGGGGGAGTGGGAGTGGCTTGTCTCAGATATTACACAGTGTCTCTGTTGACTTCCTGTTGCCTACAAGCCAAGATGTAGCCAGTACCATATCTGCCTGCACAGCTATGCTCATGATGATAATGGACTGAACCTCAGAAATTGTAAGCTGCCACCCCAATTAAATGTTTTCTTTATAAGAGTTGACATGGTCAAGTATCTCTTCACATCAATAGAAACCCTAACTAAGACAGAAGTTGGTACCAGGTACTGGAGTATAGCCTGACCATGCTTTTGTGTGGAGGAATTTGGATGTTGTCACTTTGGACTATGGAAGTAGTGAAATGCTTTAACCACTGCTTAATGGACCACAATAGTAGGCGTGTGGAAGACAAAGTACTAGGAGCTACTTGAACTGTCAGGGGCTCACTCAAGAAGTCTCAGAGGAGAATTTTAGTGTGTTGCCTAGAGATTGTTCTTGTGATATTTGGTGAAGAAAGTGGCTGCCTTTTGCCCTTGTCCAAAGAGTCTGCCTGAGGATAAAGTGAAGAGATTTGGATTAATTCCATTGGCAGAGGAAATTTAAAACAACCTAGTGTAGACTCTGCCATATGAATATTAGTGTTCATGCTTATGAAACCTAGTGTAGGCCCTGCCATGTGGATATTAGTGTTCATGCTTATGAAAATCTATAATGAAAAAGAGCAAGAGGAGCAGAATAAATTATAAAATGTAAATTTTGAGGAGAAAAAGAGCCAGGAGGGGCTGGAGAGATAGTTCAGTGGTTAAGAGCACTGGCTATTCTTCCAGAGGATCTGGATTCAATTCCCAGTACCCACATGGTGGCTTATAACTGTGTGTGTGTGTGTGTGTGTGTGTGTGTGTGTGTGTGCGCGCGCGCGCGCGCGCACGTAACTCCTGTCCCAGGGGATCCAACACTCCCATACAGAGTGTATTTTTGTCAAAACACCAGTGCACCTTAAATAAAAATAAATAAGTCATT